TGACAGAGAAGACCAGGATTCTAGTACCAAGCTAAATCGTAGACCCGTGTGGCAAAAAAGACTTCACGTCTATCAGGGTTCGATGTGCACTAGTGATCGAAGTGAGTGGACAAGATTATAGCTCTGCAAAAGTACCTGAAATCAAGTTCTCAGCAAAGATGGCGCGATGGGAAAGCAAAATGTCATAGATTTCTCAGATGTGACGAACTCTGGGTTGTGGAAAAACTGAATCTACAGTTGTACTGGGAGACTGCGAATCTAGCTGCATCAATACCAACGGGAAGACAGACACTACGATGGCTAGCATGGGGAAAAAGTATGCATCCTCTTCAATCAGATCTTCTCATTGAATCTTCTGAGCGATCAAGGCAATGACAACATTGGAACACAAAAATCGTGTTCTTTCATACTCTGTGATTGGAACATGGTGTTAGAAGGTCAGAGTAGATCTTGACTTTGTTGTGCAAGCGGAGAGGAAACGTGGGTGAATGCGTCAGTGTGATAATATTCTCTATGACGTCACGTTGACAACTTCCATTACAACTTTCTTCTTTATTAATCCATTTATCTGGCATGTTCGATCAGTTCGAGCAAGTGGACCTATTCTGACAGCTGAGTGGCACATGAGTAGTCAGCTGTAATAAGCATGTTGAGTTTTTTCTTACTTTTGACCCAGAACAGTTGTGTAGATAATTGTAAATAACTTTTAGTATCAGAAAAAACTGACAAGCTTTTTGGGATTTTACTAACTATGGTATCGAAGAACTGTGTACAGAGGATACCAGTACTCGAGGTTATCAACTGCTGGTACGATTGTTCTTCTACCCCAGCTGTGTCAAGTATGTGAATGCATGCAGAAGTTTGGAGGTCTTTTTTTTTGGTGAGTTTGCAAAGCCAAAATGAATGACTGTGAATACAGAGATCGCATGATGAATTCGTGCTGCTAAGATGACAGCCTGGTCACTTTAAGCATGGCCTTCACGATTTCAACGTATCCCTCCTGCAATGGATCCAATTTTCTAATTGTAAAACAATGCAAATATGAATAAGCTAAATATGTTGATTTTGTGAATGAATGATATGTTGCCAAATATTGCTTTTTTAGATAGTTAATCATACATTTCAATATTTTCGTGCATTTAAATTATATTATTATAATGAAAACAATTTTTTATTAATTTAAATAAAATAATAAAATATAAATTTTCAAATAAATATTAGAGAATTTATATTTTTTTCTTTTTTTTATACATGAAGATTTTGGATTTAGGGATGTGAGTGAGAATGAGAGCATTTTTCAGTATAAATCCGAATAGTACATTTCTGATTGCATTGCAGAAAGTTTCATTTAAAAGACAAATTAATCTTTCAAATTCAAATTATTGACTCAGAAATTTGAAGTTGCATAGTGTGAAGGTTTTTTTTTTTGAAAAACACATCAATAAAGATGCTTGCAATTAGTATATCATATATATATTCAAATTTTATATGATAGCTTAAATTTCATCATATACATTTTGTTCACTAAACGTTTTGTGCTTAATTGTTTTGATCTATAATTGATTAAAATGTTGAAAAAAAAATTGAAAAATATGAACAATTCTTGAAAAGAAATATATCTATGTTTTAATTCATATTTTTATCTTATATTTAGTGTAATTAATGAAAATTTGGATTAGGATAATATATATGGACATCATAAATTAGTTCTCAATCAAATATATATATATATATATATATATATATATAATTAATAATTTTTTTTGTAAAAAAGTATTTCTGGATGTAAACTACATGGTAATTAATATTTTAGTCGAAATTCATTTCGAAAGAAAAATCATGATGTTTTAGAACTCAAATGATACAAACATTAAAAGTGAAATTGATATTTTTGTTTGAATTATTTGTTGTTTCTAAACATTGAGAGCAATCTTTCAAGAAACTTTTGCAAGCAAAGTCATTATTGTTAGTGGTGATGATGGTTTATTTGATTGTCAAACAAATAACGTTAGGTTATTTGTATTTCACATTATTTATTTGATTAAAATCACATTCATATCTAAAAGTGGGGAAAGAGCATGCACATCTTCAATCGGATCTCGTCATTGAAAAGTGTGAGGATCAAGGGAGCGACAATATTCTATCTCAAAAAGCCTGCTCCTCCCTACTCTGCGATTGGACAATGGTGTTAGAAAGTCAAGTAGATCTTGACTTTCAACCAACAGGATACACTGAATGCATCAGTGTGATGATACACTCCATGTCATCACCTGACAACAAACATGTCAAAGTTCATCTTCTATTTTAATCTATGCAAGAAAGTGGATGATTCTGACAACTCAGTGGCACATGCGCTGTAGGCCTGGTTGACAATGCCTCTTGTGCTTTCTCTTTTCTTTAAATATCGGTACAGGAGTCTTTATAACTTTACATACTTGTAGGTTCGGAACAAACTGGTAAGCTATCTGGAAGTTTACTAAACATAATCTCGAATAACTTTGAACAGAGTAGAAGCACAATCGAGGTTCTCGATTGCTGATATGATTTTTCTTCTAGCTCAACTGTCAAGCATGTGAGCTCATGCACAGTTCTAGTTTCCAGAGTCTCGAGTCCTCTACACCTCAAACATGAAATTAATATCGAATTTCGTCCAAGCTACGAGCACTCTTGCTTGTTTATCGCGTTTTATAGAAGTTGATAGAACCAGCATGATACTTGCTGAGCTCAACGTCAAACCTCTCAAGAAACATTTTTTCCAAGTTGCTTGCAAATCAAGGGAAACTGTGCGGTATACATGACTTCAGAAATAATTCTGATGCTAAATGCTAGATAATAGTGATTCTTCAATCCAATTAAGAAAAAAATTTAACATGGTTAAGTCCATCATTGTTCTTGTTTATAATTCTATTTACAACTGTGCAAACGACAATTTCGTTGATCATGTCCGTGACAAAAGCAATAGCCTCGTCCATTGAACGCTCAAGATTGCTGCAATCTAACCATAATTTCTTATTACTCTGCATGGGGTAATGTGGAGTCAATGAATCACCCGAGAAAGTGTTATTCGGAATGATTTATGCACAAGATGTATATTGAATGTACAAGTTAATCCACCTAATTTGTCTGCTACTCTACAGGGAAGGCCACCTAATCTATCTTGCTCATGCACGTGAAACATAACAGGCACATATTATCATAAATACAATTGTAGAGCAACAGCTTCCAATTGGAGCTTAGATCACTCTTAAACTAAGCAGAGATCTTATCCATAACATAATTTGATATTATTGGGTTTAAGATAAGGACATCCCGAGCTATAATTATACTTTTTCAGTCTTATAACTGCAATTCACATTGTCACAAAAGTCCACCTGGTTAATTGGTACGAGTACATTACTATTGCCTACTAGACATTTTGTTCAAAAGAGGTGTCAAACATGAAACATATCATACTCCCAAATATTAAAAAATCAACATAGTTGTGACTGCACCAGCTAATTCACTTAACACACATTTCAAGTCAGCTCCATCAATCTCAATGAAATCTGTTAGATCATGAACACAAAGAAATACTCATTGACTCTTAAACCAATGAGATGAAATCTTATTTCACTATGCATTACATTAGTTTTGGATTGATGGGACGGCAAATAAACACATGAATTGTCTATGTGTTATTTTCATTAACTCTATTTCTTAACTCACAAGCAGAAAGATGGTAGATATGTTACTTCACGCTTAACAGATACTCTGTTCTATTCATGTATTATTATTGGATTCTAACTGTTCCCGCAGCTATAATGCCAAAATAATGTAGATTACAGGCTTCGCCTGACGAACTCACGCACCAGGGGATGGTCGAGAAGCAGCCCAGTGCCCGCAGATGGGCTGCCAATGTGCGAGTGGGAGATTCCTGGACGGCTTCTGACGCCACCGATGAGTGAATGGTGTGCGAGTGTGCGAGAGGTTCATATCTGCTTCGCGTTTATCGCGTAGAGTTGAAAGATCGATCCTCCATTAACTCGCGGCGAATGGAAATGGAAGAAATCGGTGGCTTCTGTGGAACAGAAGGGCCTCATTGTGCATACCCCTCACTGTTTGTGATTGACAATTCCTCTCGGTCCTGCTGCGAGAGCTCCCTTGGTAGCGAAGGTTTGATTGCCCTTTCTGAAACCAGAGACACCATTATGTCGTAAGATTGCTGTTTTCGAGAAACTGCGGTGGCAGCGATTTCCGATGCATAATTCCATCAATATCACGGAGAGGCTGCACCTCTTCAGTCTCTGTGTGTTTTGCAAATCTCTGGTCATTTATGCGCAGTTTCTCAGGACAAATTCAAGGCCGTGTCAGGACCCATGTGACCGAAGACCTGAGAATACTGAAGCACGCTGACAATGGAAGACTTGTGGCAGCTGTAAAACTCTCATCTCCTGCTGCAAATGTCTTTCATGCTCTACCCTGAAGCTTCGCTCTTCCCTGTGAGTGAGCTTTGATTGCCCTTTCTGAGACCAGAGACACCATGATGTAGTAAGATTGCTGTTTTCTCTTCCCTGTGAGTGAGCTTTGATTGCCCTTTCTGAGACCAGAGACACCATGATGTAGTAAGATTGCTGTTTTCGAGAAACTGCGGTGGCAGCGATTTCCGATGCAAAATTCCATCAATATGACGGAGAGGCTGCAAATGTCTTTCTTGAAGGAAACCTTCACTGAGTGGTTTGTCAGCGTCTGGCAAACAACGCGCAGCATCAGCTGTAGATTGCCTGTAACCCGGAGCAGGCAAAATGTGGACGGTCGGCATAAAATGGAAATTATTCACCCAAGTCTTTGTAAATGATGAACTGAGGCTTTGGATGAACCACATAAGATTGTAAATTAGAGTTATAGTAAGGGTCACAGGTTAAAACCTGTTTGAGTGAGTCGAACTCAAATCTTCCGCAATATTCCTCGAACTGCGGACAGACGCAGATGCTCCATAGAAAATAATGATTGTGTTCAGAACGTAGACGGAGATGGCAGTGGTGATCAAAGATGACAGAGTCGGATAACAGACAGCTAAGGTGACAGACTGACTATTCACCAGATAAAAGCTCATAGCATCACCAATCCCGCCACCAGAAACGCGTCTGCTGCCGTTTCTGCAGACCTGTGCGAAGTTGCCAGGCCCGCCGATAATTAGAATAATTTTCGAGTATAAGAAAGCAAAGTTTCACAAACTCTGCATCATCCTCAACCTCAATCACAGGACCAACATTTGACAAAGTCGTCCGCGCGGCGGGGTTCATCTCTTCAAGGGACTGCCGCTGCAATGCCCGACTCGTGTTTTAAAGTACAGATTAGGAAAGTCCACGCCTGCGCATCTTGAACACTGCATGACGTGACGTCGGAGCATGAAGACATCCGAGATCTGGTTCGGCAAACTAATTGTACATTGCAGTGAAGCTCTGGATCTAGCTCAAGTTGATTGAGGTTGATGTGAAGTATTGGAAGGAAGCTTTCTGGCCTATTTTAAAAAGGTATAAATTATGTGGATTGACCGTATGAAATAGATTATTGATATTTTTCTCCTTTCATCTCATCGCCATGACTATGATCGTTATTGTCTCTGATATCGGAAGACTATTTGGGTGAGCGAGTTTTGTTCTAGACGTGAAGAGTCTCTGTAGCTAAAAGTCCACGCACAGTCCAATAGCAAGAGATTTGGTGCCACCATATTCATTATACACGTGACAGTTCTGACCGTGCTAGTGATTTGAAATGTGCTGAGATCACTGCCAGCACAAGCATGTTACCAGGTAGCGTGAAGAATACGGAATAGCGTGAAGCATGTTATTTGTAGCGTGAAGAATACGGAAGGGAAAACTCTCATAACACATCCACAATTTATGCTCCACGTAAAGATTCTCTTGAACTCAACGTCCACACGCAGTCGAATTGCAAAAGCATTCGTGCTTCGATAGTACCACATTTATACACGTGACAGTTCTGAGCGTGCTGGCGATTTAAAATGCGCTGAGAACCCCGCTATGAAACAGCATGTTATCACGATGTCGCACCAAGAATACCAAACGAAAATCTCTAATAATCGCCCAGTCCTTGCCGGAAACGTAAGACTTACCTCAGTTAGAATATAAAGCGACACTTTTATAAGCCAGTGCTGCACCCTCTGATCATTTGATTTCGGAACACTATGGGACTCAACCGTGTTTATCCTGTTTTTGTCACAATAGAACCTTGCTATTCAGTAGGTTCTGCAAGGTGTGGTGGATGAGAGGAGCTTCATCTGATGAACCCAGTTTGTACCTTGAGCTTCGGTTTTTTGCACCTTATTTCTAATTTGAGTAGCGGGCAGTTTCGCGTCTTTCTGAGTTACCTATGAGCACATTAATTTTCAGGAAGTCCTTTGTTTCTCGTCCGGAAGATCTGACTTAACATTAGGACTTCTACCCAAACGCATGATGAAGATTATCTGCTTGCAGGTACAAGCGCAAGCTTCACCAGTCAAAGAACGTCCGAACGAATGTCCGAAACCTGGAAAGCGAGAGGGTACTGAAACCTTGCCAAGTGGAATAGTGGAGGCTACTTCAGACCTTGAACGTAGACACTTATGGAAGGTTTCCGAAAACGTAAGAACGTGATCTCCTCACTGTGGTAGATTCGCTTCATCAGATCTACTGTTGTTTTTCTACTGTCTAACTCAATTGTTTGTTCAATTAAACTGCTCAGTCAAACCGCTTTCTAATTTGTCAGACGCTTTTTTCTGGCTCAGCGCTTCTCATTATTTCGTTGTTGGTGCATATGGGTCAATTCTTATGTGTTCTACAGAAATTATCACAATATGGAGCTTTTATTGATCTAGACAGGAGCAAATGAGCAGTACATCCCTCAAAAAAACTGATGAACTCTTGAAGGTCGTTGTTTTGTGTGCAGGATGCAGCCATGTCTCAAAACCTTCTTGCTATGGCTGTTGGTATCAAGCAGAAAAGCAATGTGGATAAAATTATCCAGAAGGTGCATTTTCAGATTATACGTATTCGATAAGTAGTTAAAACATTTGAATTCTGGTGAAGTGGTTTATCTTTATCAAATCCAAATCTGGATACAGATGGTTGTGATAAAGATAACCAACAATCAAAATGAACATTCTGTAAAGGAATGTTTTCGTAATCGCAGCTTTCTGCATGTAATTTTGAAAAATATCAATCTTGTCCAGACTTACGGTGTGGATACCATTTTCATCTTGTACATTATCCATGATGCCTATGTAGATCTCACTAGCTCTCTAACAGTTCCCCGCAGACAATTTTACGATCATGCTCTTCCACTACGATGGACAAGTAGACGCGTGGATGGATATGGAGTGGACTCCTCAAGCAATTCATGTAATGGCTGCCAATCAGACAAAATGGTGAGCACATTTTTTTGCCTTTCGTAACCAGGAGTCAAACGCTTGTAGATTGAATGGAGCTCTATTTGATAGTGAAATTCTGGTCTCACGGAACCGATCTCGTCATAAGTGGATTTTCTTGTTTCGGTTGGATCGTCTTTGTTCTAATAGGGAAGCACTTAGAGAAGGTTCCTTTCTGTTCGGAATCATGTTATTCATAAATATCCAAAGCTGTCTCATCCAACTCTGACATGTTCTGCATGGCCAAGGGGTAATTTTTTTTCTGCAGAATTTTGAGCTACGTGATACCTGTATGTATTTAGGCTCTGGCTCAACACCAGGAGGTCTCATTTATTTTAATCGATAGCCAACTTAATAGACTACAATAGAGTGGTTGGGACGTCACTTGGTTGTTGATTCGTCTACGTACTTAATTCCAAAACAACCAATTTTTAAATAATCAATTTGAGCACATCTCTGGGTAGGTGGTATGCCAAGCGGTTTCTGCACCCGGACATCGTCGCGAGGTACAATTATATATTCCTCTGGGACGAAGATCTCGGGGTGGAAGTTTTCCACGCTGACAGGTATGAAAATACTGTAACATCGTCTTGTTTTGCTTGTTTTACCGGTTGGAACGTTGTTAGCCCATTTGCAGTGTTATCTTTGTAAGGAAGTGATTAAGCTTCTAAGTAACCACCCTGAAGTACAACTGTTGATTCATAAATCAAGAAATTCATGAACTTAACTGGTGTATGCTCTCGTTCTACATTTCAGCTGGTTAAGGTTTGTACTTAAAAGTTTGCAGTACAAGAGATATCATCCTTGTGCAACCTCGGGCCTAAACAAAGTTCTTGTCATCGGCGACAGATATCTAAACATCATGGAAGATGAAGGACTTGAGATTTCTCAGCCTGCCCTCGCTTCAAGCTCTTCAGAGGTTCACCACATTTTAACTGTACGCCAACCCACAGAGAGAGTTCACAGGCAAGAGCAAATTCTTATTTGTCAACTAGTCTGATCTCTGATAGCAGGGTACAGATGCTAACATGATCTATTCTATCAAAGATCATTGCTCTTCTTTAGACCCTGAGTATTAGCGGCCTGTCTGTTGCTTTGTATTTATATGTATATGCATATTGCTCCTGTCAGGTTTGAACCTGAGGACATTTCTCGTTGAGTATGTTTCTTCATTTATGATACATGAACGTTTCTGATCATCTGAATGTAAATGCAGACGCTTGATAACAGGAACTGGATGGAACTCATGTAACGCCAATAGCACCGGTCCTCCGTGTATAGGGTAAGTGGAGATTAGTATCAAAAGCATGACATTGTCTATCATCTTCCGTGAGATCAGGCCTGGTTCGGGAAAAGATCTTCTGAAAAAAATCCTGGTCTTATGGAAATCTGGACTTTTCTGACTGATATTTCTGGGTTAATATGATGGCTCCAGTGTTTTCTCGGGCTGCGTGGAGGTGCACTTGGTACATGATTCAGGTTTGTTTAGCTCTGCATTGGAGTCTTCATTAATCATGAAGTTGAGACAACGATGTTAGAGTATGTAAATTGAAGCAGCCCTTTTTATGCTGGAGCTGAAGACAAACCTACTTGTGAACTTTGGAAGAAACCTACCGGTTGTTGATCATAAGAGGCTGACTGCAACGACACGGTGATAAAAATACTAGTTCTTTGTTATCATCAAGAGCGGTGTGGAGATTTGTCCAACCTGCTTAAGGGAAAACCATGAACTGTTGCCAGTCACCTATTTTGTTAAAATCGAATATACCACTTCGTCCTCAAAGCACACTAGCTCTCATATATCGTCTGTTGAATATTTCTCATGTGTATTCCAATTCAATCTCTGAACTCTTTACATCTGGTTTAGACTATGGTTGCTGTTCGGGTTCAGTTTATTTTTCGCGCAGCTCCTTTCCGTGGCCTGAATTTGACTTCACTTTTTGCTGAGCAGAATGACTTAGTTCATGCCTGGGGTCTAGACTACAAGCTTGGTTACTGTGCCCAGGTACATCTCTGAACCCCTTGGTATCAACTGCTTTTTTTAAATATATATGATGGGTGTGGGTTTTTGGTAAACTCTGCAAGAAGTGGCATTCTATCTTCTCGAATAGAGATGTGAGTGATCGAGTAGCGATCATGATTAATTTGCTATCTAGTCGTGAAATGATTTTAGAACTATATCACAGGTCTCCATAATGGCACTCATAATCTTTATTTTCATTTTTAAGGGAGTTCGCAGTGAGAAAGTGGGTATCATCGACAGTGAATATATTGTTCACGAAGGCATTCCCTCCTTGGGAGGTCAACCTCATGACAAGGTATGCTTGTGAGGATGAAGTTCTTGTGCAATTTTTTGTCGGCGATGGAAATCACGCTTTGCTCCAGTAACTTTTTGATGATTGCAGTTTCAAGAGTATGGAAGTTAGAACGATTCAGTGATCGGTCTGACTAGGATTTCGACTTTAAGTGACAAGCCCTACTTTTTGCCCAAGGTAATCTAAACCTGTAGCGCACTCAACTTGGAATCTGTGACAGACTGCAGAGAGTCAAACAAATCTGAGGACTGCTAACGTGCTTGACGCTAGCCTCCTGGTATGTTTCTACATGTCTGCGGTCGAGACTTTCCTTTTTCCTGGGCCTGAGAACCTTTCGCTCAGAAGATTTTATTTAAATTCAGGTTTAGATTTTATTTATTGGACTTTCTCTAAGAATGGGTCGGAACTTAGTCAGCAGTTTGATACAAAGTGTGCAAGTAGCAGCCCCACAAGAACATGCATTTTGATTCAGGCGGTCTGTAATCTTCAATCGTGATCTTGACAATGTTTTCTATTCAGCACTCCATATGCCTTATGTAAGGAAGACAATGATCTCGTTTCTTGAGTAAAACGAGATAACGGTTGATTGAGAGGGCCTCGAAATGACCTTGATCCTCAAGTGCTTCCATCTGCTATTTATTGATCCAGTGATGAAAGGGAGAGACTATTTTGAGGACACTTCATTATGAAACACACATTGATATACAACGAATATATCCCGATGTATTCGTTGTTGTTGGTCACCATGTGCCAGCCTGTGTGGAGGTCTTCTCAATGTGATTCTCCGTTTTACGTTAAGTTCGATCCCTGTTAGTGACATGGAATGATGAGTAAAGATGATATAGTGAGCGTCGTATCTTGACATTCCTATGTTGTACCGAATGAAGATCCAGAGCAAAGAAAGGAATTATCCCAGAAGGTTTCATATCAGATACTTCGAAGAAGTAAATCGAACCAACCGGAGGTGGTTTGTGAAATGAGCTGAATTTGCTAGCAAGCATCTTGCCGCTATTTGTCTCATTCTCAAAGATACGACGAGGTTGGAGTATTTGAAGTCTAAGACTGGTGTAACCTTTTCTCCTGACCTCTGAGATTGGCTAGTAATACCACAAGAGAAAACCGGGGTCGAACCAAGTGCCTACATCCCTATGGGTCAGATCTCTAGTGTGTCCTGAGTAGAGGGATCGAGGTATTTTATGGAGCAAGGAGTATGACTGAGAAAGCAAGGTCAGGGACTTTTACTCCATATCTTAGTATATACATTGACTACTAACTAGAAATCGAACGCATCTCGAGTTTGGTTTTAGACCACATTGCATAAATGGCAGTACTGTCTGAGTACCTGCAAACCTGAGAAGATTCCGCTTTACTCTTAGATCTCCTGAGCTTCTGTCTCCCAAGGAGCTACAGACAGGACCGTTTGTTCAGGAAGCCTGAAGGTACAGGACTGTCTATGCCGAGGAGAACTTATGGACTAGAGAATGAGTGCACACAAGCCAAGAAATGTACTACGTAAGCCAGACAAAACCAGTGATCTTAAAGGCCACTTCAGCATGTTGGAATATCTTCCGCAGGCGAACCATGTTCCGGAGGGGGTTGTCCTTTGAGCTAATGCCTTTGTAAACCATGCATGAGATGGTTCCTCTCGAGTGGCGCTAATATTTCATACTCCCCGCTCTTGTTGTTTTACAGGATCCCGACGCTGTGGACACTCGAGGAGAGGTCAGTTTTGACTTTCTGACTTCTGTTCCTCGTTCTGTATTGTTTTGATGTCTTGTACGGACATCTCTGATGGAGGCATTCGATTGTCAATTCTGGCCTGCAGATTAGAAATAGATCTAATGTTGAGTTGCAAGCGTTCTCACGACGATGGAGAAGAGCAGCTGCAAGCGATCCAGAATGGATGGATCCATTCAAAGTAGAGCTTCCGTCCGAAGAAAACCATTACGCTGTTGAAACCAAGCCAGATGGAAGGTGATTTATATTTGTCCTCCACATATTATCGGCTAGAAATGAAAGCATGATATGATAGTAATTGCTAAAAGTAATTGTTCAACAACATCCTTACGGGAGATCTAATCCAATTATTTCTTGTTGGCGCAGATTTGCTCCTGTTGATCCGTCGGCAAAGCAAGCCAAGAAAGCCTCGAGAAATAAAGCCAGAGGACCGAATAGGACAGGGTAATGGAAACAACCTCAAAGGAGCTGATCATTTTTCCTACACTGCAGAGGCCGTAAGAGGTCAAGCGGGCGCCAGATGCTTTTTCTGTCGCTTTAAGTAGGGGTGGTATAGCGTAATGCTCCGTCCTTAAATTGTACAATTTACAATTGTCTCATGCACCTCATCGTTGCGTTCACTTTGAGCTCAGATGGCTACTGTCCAGCGAAAATGAACGGAGCATATATCTTCTGTGTTAGGACTCAATTGCTTCTATATGCTACCTTCGGTTTAGATTTAGGTCGTCAACGCTGATATAGCTAAGAGGGGTCCTTTCAATGCAACTCAAGGATATTATTAGGAACAAGACTGTCACCGAGATCGACTGAGCGGAAGCTTTGCTGCGACGACAATCATCCAGCATTCCAGGCCGTCTTGAAGATGCCTAACGTTGGAAATGGATCTACCACAGTTTTATCGACTTTGTCCCGGTTGTCGAGGTCTAGTGAGGAGGCAGTCGACCTGGAATGGTTTGTTAGCGGGGCTGTAAACGAAAAATGAGTTGTGAGTTCTACGGTGAAGGTATGCTTGATGCCGATTATTCTTTAGTCCGTGGCTGTGATTTTCACACCACATTCATCCTCATACCCCAATTATTTTTGCTCAAAAGAGAGAGCGACATTCACACGATCTTATTGGGATCCGTTTCTTTCCTTGTTCATCCTCTGTGCAGTTTCGAAGATGATGTTGAATGATTGCAGCTGAGATGAGAAAAAGAGCAAAAACTGAATGTTGCAAACGCGATTTTCTTTTCCAGTCAGTGTGTGATTCTCTTCTATAATTGTGTCAGGCCTAACTGTTTCTATTGGTTCTATATGTTATGAAAGCTGTCCTTATTTAGATAAGGGATTCAAGTAAGTAAGATTATTCTAGAAATACTGAAACTGATGTGGACATGTTCACATGCAATATTTTGTGTAGGTTCTCGCTCTAATCGTTGGCTTTCACAGGTTATTTACTTCATCACTTGCCTTATGATTTACGTCATGTATGCACGTTTTAGTTCACCTCATATCTCTCCTGTGTTAGCTTAAATTTCAGATGGACATTCTCTCGAACAGTCGATGTGTTTGTTCTTCACCTTCTGCCCAATGTCAGATGGATCTCTCGTTAGGAAATTTGTCAATGGGAATGTAGATTTGATTGTGGACTGGTACAATTCTCTGGTCATTTAATCTGGACAATTGGTCATATTTTTGTGTTCAGAATGCAGTATCCATTTAGATGGATCACTTGCACATGATTTTTCTCGTACGCCAGGTACTATATATTCGCTTAATTTGTTATATCTTCTCTCAGTGTCATTCTGAGCAACGATATTGAGTTTAGAACTCCCCAATCTTGAACCACGCTCCAACTCAATTCTACATAAAAATAATAATACAAGTTGTAAACCCACATATACATATACGATAATCTTAACAATAGTACATCGTGGTATAATCTTCGGCCCGTCATTAGGGTTGTGTAATATTTATGAAAAGTGACATCAAAACATAAAGAGTGGAATCAACCAAACTGAATCTCTTTTGTGTGCTTAATGAACAGGAACAAATGTTGGTTTGGTGAATATTGAATGAACTTGAAATATTTTTCCATTTACTTGGCGCCTTGACAAATATTCAGTTTTAGCCACGTAGAATTATTTAAACCTAACCGGGTGACGAGTTATAATGGCAAAATAATGTAATTTAGAGGGTCACGGACGCGGGGATGGTCGAGAAGCAGCCCAGTGCCCGCAGATGGGCTGCCAGTGTGCGAGTGGGAGATTCCTGGACGGCTTCTGACGCGACCGATGAGTGAGTGGTGTGCGAGTGTGAGAGAGGTTCGATGACCATCAGATCTGCTTCGCGTTTATCGCGTAGAGTTGAAAGATCGATCCTCCACTACCTCGCATCGAGTGGAGATGGAAGAAATCGGCGGCTCATTGTGTGTAAGAGAATGCCCTCATCGTGCATCGTGATTGACAGTTCTTCTCGTTCCTGCCGCGAGAGCTCCCTTGGTAGTGAAGGTTTGATTGGACTTTGTGGAACCAGAGAAACCATGATGTCGTAAGATTGCTATTTTCCAGTATTATATGTACATTGTATTATGTCACTTTCTGTAACTATTGAGATTGACTGCAGATAGTAAGATTTCTAAGAATTTCACTCTTATAACATGTATCTTTTTGGTATCAGACTTTCATACTTTCCTTGGGTTAATGCCCCGAACAGAGCTCCAGTATATGGTAAGAACCATCTCTTCATGGATCAATTGGACGTGTTATATGGAAAAAACAACTCATTGTATCGGATGGTTATAATTATGGGGATACACTTTAGTTTGAGAACAACAGACTACGGAAGTAATCAAGCTTAAGAATAATTGAAAATTCCTACAAATGTCCTTGGTTCTGGAACTAGCGAATCATAGAGGGGTTTTGAAGGAAATTCCACTGAGAGGTTTGTCCGCGTCTTGCAAACAACGCACAGCATCAGCTGTAGATTGACTGTAACCCGGAGCAGGCAAAATGTGAACGGTCGGCATCAAATGGAAATTCTTCGCCCAAGTGTTTGTAAATGATGAACTGAGGCTTTGGGTGAATCACATAAGATTGTAAATTAGAGTTCTAGTAAGGGTCAGAGGTTAAAACCTGGTTGAGTGAGTCGAACTCAAAACTTCGGCAATATTCCTCGAACTGCGTACAGACGCAGATGCTCCATAGAAAATAATGATTGTGTTCAGAACATAGACGGAGATGGCAATGGTGATCAAAGATGACAGAGTCGGATAACAGACAGCTAAGATGACAGACTGACTATGTCATCTTTGATCACCATTCTGCATGCTCTGCTGCACGAGGTCGTGCATACTTAGAGAATTTATGCTGTAAAGATTCTCCTTAACTCAACGTCCACACGCAGTCCAATTGCAAAAGCATTTGTGCTTCGAAAGTACCACATTTATAAAAAAATGGCAAAAACATTATTCGACCAAACGTCGAATGCAAAAACACACACGTGACAGTTCTGAGCGTGCTGGCGATTTAAAATGCGCTGAGAATCCCGCTATGAAAAAGCATGTTATCACGATGTCGCACAAAGAATACCGAATGAAAAACTCTGATAACACCTCAACAATATATCACAGGAGAGAAATCTGTGCACAGGTTTTGTTTTACCGGTAAGATGCATTCGAACTGGAGTTAGGCCTCCTAAGAAATCTTGTGAAAACTTCTGATCATACAAAGAAGTGACAGAAGAAGATTCACATGAGCTACAAATTTCTGAGCTTCACAGATTGGATATTGTGCATGAATTCTTGCAAAAGGATTCTCTTCAGCCTATATTGCTCTCTTGTTTAAACACGGATACTACTTGAAAATGATAACACTTATTAGTTTCTAGTTCCGGTCCATCATACATTTGTCGGACCTTCATCGTGGGACATAAGAATCAGTCACGAATATGTGTGGAAGTTCAACATGACCACTCTCACGTGTCAACGGAAGGGTTTTCATCATAGTGAGACTTGAAACGAGACAATATGAACACTCTACCCTCAAAAAGTCATCTTCATAGTTTAGCCAAACACTGATCTTCTTCAGAAACATAACTGTGAGATTGACATATGGCAAAAATTATAGGAGACTATTTCCTTGTGAAAGCTGCAAAGAATAATTTGCAGAGTTGTATATTGCATGAGGGTCTAAACATATGCTTGCCAATTGCATAGTGGCATTCTAACCTCTTCTAAATTCTAATATGTCAAACTTCCACTGTCAAACTTCCACTACGAAGGCCTTTATTCATGCACTTCTCGCATACCCATGCATGCCCACCTTTTTCTAAACTCACGTACTTCACCTGATACAACTTGAAGATTTTGGAATAGCGATTTTGAAGCTCAGGCGCAAGAATTTGCTTAATCCTCAACCATGCTTCTTGCAGCTCCTGGCTTTCCCCACCTGTAAGAACTGCCTTGCGATCTTCACTGCTAACATCTAGTTTAACAATATCTGATTCCAAATCTGCCCAGGCCGGAATCGCATCGCCCAACTCGCAGAACTTAGTCAGTGCAGCCTTTGCAGCATAATATATGACTTTGTATGAAATTTCAATAGTTTTCCGAATCCACCCCCACTTCTCCGAATCCAATCGTATCTTCAACCCTTCTTGATCTTCGACAGTGTGAAACCCAGTCACCGACTCACACATCAAGTGTAATCGAACAATTCTCCCGACATGCAGAGTTGCACTCAACTTATAGAATTCTCCCACATCGTCCGTAACATAGGGTCGTTTGGGCGTTTTTACCTGCTGAAACGCTTGCGAATAGCCAATGATCCTGTCCACCTTAGACATGAAGACACTGAAAGTTGATTGCAGCTCTTGTTGCACAGAGAGTATTTGTCCCATTGAGCTCTGCATTGATCTTAACCTCTCATCCAAACCATCAAGCTTTTGTACTATCTTTTCTCCCAGCTCCTCAATCTTTAACACAATAAGTTGGGTCGAAGGACTCTCCACACTTGTGCTGGCCCGACTCAAGGACCTGGATGTGAGTGGTTTGAGGTCTTTCATTTGTGGGAGATTCGAGTCGCTAACCATGTTTTCAGCTTCAGGATAACACTGAGCCAAATCAGTGTCCACGCTAACTATAGCTTTCTGCAATGACTCCAATTGTTGAATTTGATTCAGGCAAATCTCATTCACAACTGCTTCCACATCGCTCTCCCATAACAAATCCCTTGCTAGTTCGGATATTCCGCCCGTATCCATTCCAATCGGAGCCCAACAATGCTCATAGTGGAACAACTCTTTCTCCTTCATCAAGTGCAACAACTTTTCTTTCTCTATCAAGTGTGATCTTTCCAAGGGCATTTCCTCAAGTTTGTCATTGATGCTACGAATGAAGTCAGATTTCAGCTTCTCGATCAGAATTGCTTTTCTGAGATGACTTGGAATCAACATCTCCACGCAAAAAGTTTGGATCACACCTAGCACTAATGCCACCCCGGGACAGCCTTTTGGTGATGCGCAAAATGATATCAACTCCTGGACGATATGCTTCCTCACGTATGTAATAGCCTCCTCCTTTGACTTCCGACTAGAGCATAACATCAGAACATCTACAAATTTGTGAGACTTTTCACCCTGGACGTGCTCGATATATATCCGATGCCCGTCATGGAAAAGTTGCAGATAATGTCGAGAGCAAGTCACATTCTCCTCGGAAACACCCATCTTGGATATCAACTTGCGTCTCATGAACATCTACAATCATAGAAAATTTGGTAAATCTCTAGTGAGACATTCTAAGAATTCGTCACAATAAATGAAAAGGATACATTCTCTTCATCAAATGCTAATTGCAACGCTTTTACTGTGTTTATGAAATCATGATTGAACCTCACCTGAAAGCGTGGAAAAAAAGCAGCAGTCAGTGACATTGTTGTTTCATCTTGGCATTGAATCCGAATGCCGACAAACTTCGAAGTCTCACTCCTATTTTTCCACTTCATCGCGTGCACCCCTTCTTGATCATTCTGTTCCTCCTTGCTTGCATGCTCAGGGATGAAGGAAGGAATGAAATACTCAGAATTATCTTCCAGCTTGAAACACAAATCTAAATTGATGAGAATGTTTTCAAGCACCTTTCTATCCACATTTTGAAAGCGTGGTTGCTTTCCCAAAAACTTCTCTATCAGTCCAGCAAAGACAATCTCGCTCACAAATCCGTCCTTGCTTGCGTATGAGCTCATTCTATAAGAAGACTCTGGCTCTTGAGCTTGAAAGTTTTGACCCAGAGCTATCAGCTCACCCAAGAAGGTA